TAATAACAAGCATTACAAAACATAACAGAATGGATGAGAGTAGCAAAGCAGCTGTACATCCTATTAAGCAAGGATATTTTTCGACGAAACTTTTTTCAGGCATGGATGTCCATACTGCTCTGGGTGCTTGTTTTCTCAGCCTCCTCTGCTCCGAGGACCTGCTCGCCACCTCAGTGACCATTCCTACAACCAAACCTTGGATCTGGTCACTGCTGAGAACGACTACCTCCACAACTCCTTGCTTCCATTGGATAGTCTACCTCTCTGATTCTGGCACTTCTCCTGTCTCCTAACTTTCACTGAGTCTATTCTTTTTTATTTTCTTCTGCTTTCCCCCATAAAAGTCTTTAAAAAAAAACACAAAAAAAAAACACACATATTTTATTGATTTTTTTACAGAGAGGAAGGGAGAGGGAGAGAGTTAGAAACATCAATGAGAGAGAAACATCGACCAACTGCTTCTTGCACAACCCCAACCCCCACTGGGGATGCGCCTGAAGCCAAGGCACATGCCCCTGAGCGGAATCGAACCTGAGACCCCCCCCCCCCCCCCCACCAGTCCACAGGCTGACTTTCCATCCACTGAGCCAAACCGGTCAGGGCCCATAAAAGTCTTAATGCAAACGTTCTGCTCCTCAATATTTCTACTGGGATTGACTTTTTAGCTTGGGTCATCAGTGTCTTTTTTTCATGGGAAATTGCTTTAACCTTCCAGATGGTTTCTTTGCTGCTCTTCAAATTACCCTTTTCATGTCCCAAACTGACGGTGGCATTCCTAAACTTAAAAGTGTGATCTGGTTTCCCTTTGTCCAAACTCACAAGACCCTTCTCAGCAGTACTCAATCACCAATCAGCTTTCCCTCTCTTTTAAGCATAGTCCCTCCAACCAAACTCTTCATTCCTCATCTCTCTCTATGCTTCCAGATATAGACATGTCTCAGCTTCCTGTCCTGCCGTGACCCTATTCTGGGGGTCTGCTCATCCACAGGACCTGAGGCATCCCTGTGTGCATCTCACTCCCCGGCATGGCCTACCAGCCGTGAGAAGGCCTCTGATTCCAGGGCAGAGCACAGGGACTGGCCAGTCAACTGTGACCAGTGCGGCCAGATTCCTCTCCCATGAAGTTAAGGAGCTCCTCCAAGGATGCTGTGGGAACTACACATGAAAAGTCTTGCAAGTTGAAGCAGAATAAACTAGTTCATAGAAGGAGAACCAAACAGGGACCATCAAGCAGTCCCTGAGAGAAAGGAAGACAAAATATTTGGTTCATTCCAGTGGCTTGTTCTTGGTTTCCCAGAAGCCTTGGATCTTTTTGAGATCCTGGCACCTTTACACCCAGTGCCTGTCCGAGTGACCTTCAGAGCCCACTTTTCTCCATTCAAAAGAGCCGCGACTAGAACTTGGCCGCCCGCTGCCACCCACTGTGATTCTGTACCTTTGCACCTACTCTATGCTTTCCTGGAAATGTCCTAGATCCTTTTCACATGTGGCAACTATTTACTTACTCTTCAGCAAAACAAATGCTCTATTGAGTCCCCAGTCCCTCGGGTCAATCCCTCCTCCACATCCCTTTCCACTTTGCTCATTCCTTATTATCATAACACCCACTGCCCTGTTTTGAAATTGCGTGTGTTTCAGTATCTGTCTCTGGACTCTTAGCCTCTTGGGAACAGTATCCAATCCTGACCATATTTTTGTCTCCCCGATCTGTGGGGTGATTGTAAGGTTCTGTGAGTTCCCTACCCTCACGGCCAACCCTGGAGGCCACTCACCTGGCACAGTTCTCATTTACTTCACCTGACTTTCCGTGTCTCCCTGCCAGATGGAGCTCCGGGCAGTGCAGAGTGCCAGGAGGTTAGTGCCCCAAGGGGTCCCTCCATCAGGACGGGTGGGCTGGTAGATGAATGTCTGTGCTTCCTGCCCCTCATTGGGTCCCTCAGAAGGACTTTTGTGAAATTGAAGCCCAGTTACCTTTATGGCTTTCTTTTCTTCCTTGTCTCATTTCCTCACTCCTTCACCGTGCCTTTTAGAATCACCTCCTAAGTAAATTACTTGCATCCAAATAAATACAAACCTCAGTGGCTGCTTTGGGTGAACTTAAACCAAGACAGGGAGGTGAAGCGCATTGGGCTTGACAGACAGAGAATGAACAACTGAGGCCTCCAGCTCTTTGCCCCTCTTCCCATTGGCACAGGATGTAGAAAGACACCCCCACCCTCTCCACCCAGTTCAGTCTTTTCTCCAGAGAGGACCCATGGTCAAGCCCTTGGACCTCATGGGCATCAGCACTTCACTTTCCTTGGTCACTGGCCACTCAGAAGAGCCTACCTTGGCCATTCCCAATAACTGGTACAGCCATGGGCTCCCAGCACTCTGGCCCCTGCGAAGCTGACTGTTACAGAGGACACTCTCCTATGTTGGTTGGGGCCATGTCACATGTATAATTTCATATATAATATAGCATCAAAATCCGTTTTCTGCCCCCCCCTGTTCATTTCCTTTAGCAACTTCCACAGAGACCACGTCCACTTTTCCCCAGCATGCCCAACTTCCTTCTTCACTCTTTCTACTGTCCTCCGAGGAAATGGGCTACTTGAGTAAGGAGCATCCACTTTCAGTGCTTGTTAGAAGAAAAGGTTCTGATCCCAGAACCACAATATAGCCCCTCAGAATAATCAACTAGAGGCCAGAAGACAGATTGCAGAGATGCCACGTATTGTGCTGTGCTTGGGGCAAGAAATAATTGTTACTGGCAGCCAACCTGTCAAAATGGTCTGGACTGGCCAGAGGAAGAAGACCCTGTGATGAAATTGAAACAAAAAACAGCTCCTAAGTATTATATATATATATATATATATATATATATATATATATATGTAAACTGAGAGGTTAAGTAATTTGCCCAAGGTCCCACAGCCAGTAAACAGTAGAGCTAGGATTTGAACCCAGGCAATCTGATTCCTAGAGCCCATGAATTTAACTACTACATGACAGTGCATCTACCTATTTTTAGTGTGAAATTATTGACAAATGATTGAAAACTCAGCACAATACCATCAATTATCTGCTCCCCCTTCCCTTGTAAAGCGGGGATGCTTATAACACACATCAAAGCAATCAATATCAAACAAACAATTCAGATAAAATACTACACGCATAATCTGCCTTGCATTATTAGTGGATATGGAACTGAAATAGGTGCATTTTTTTTTTCTTAATTAATCTGTGGGTGCCAATCATGGCTAAAACCAAGTCAGTGTGGTGCATTGAACACAATGGTAAACTGAGACACCCCAAAACACAGCTATACCTCAGCTTTTCATGCCTGAAAAATGAATGGCTTGGGTAGACAATGTGTCAGGTCCCTTCCAATGCTAAGATTTTTTTTTTCCATCTGTGTACAGGCAGGAAAAACTTCATTTCATACTTGAAATTTCACTGATGTGGGGACTGGAGTCCAGGAGGGAAGCCTTTCTGAGGACTGGGACACTTCATGCCACATAATCTCTGTGCTCCTTACAATGCCAGAGGCAGCATTTTCAAATCTGAAGAATTTCTGTGCCAACTGTGTCATCTGCTAACTGTCATCAGGAGCATATAGGAAGCAGCAGGTGGTCTGGCTTCAGAGCGTGCTTGAGTACTGAAGAGAAGGCACAGCTTAGAAACCTCCTGGGCCAGGATTTGGGTCGGCTACATATAGAAAGGATTAGCCCATCAGTGTTAAACCCTGCTCAGAGGGTCACAGCGCATTCTCTCCCTGGAGTTCGGTTCCAGCTCCTGTCCGGGCGCTGCTGCCCAGGTCCGGATCCCTGGTGCTCAGGCCAAGCCCACACTTTAAAACGGAGTAAGCACCGCACATGGCAGGTCAGGTATGCATCCACAGAAGCATTTTACTGAGCCGGCCAAGGAGGGCAGAGGCCTCTGACCTTTGGCCACTTTGGAAATAAGAACTGCTCAACCTGTTCCTGACAAAGCCTCCTGGAAGAGCTAGAGAATACAGTTCAGAAAAGACAGGTCAAAAATGTATGCACACTATATAGAGAGGGAGAACAATGAACGTAGACATGGGTGACACCTTGTTTTACCTCCTTTGCGAACTTATCCTCGAAGGGAGAGGGGATGGAGGCCGCCCCAGGCTCCTCCTGGTTGGGTGAACTTCCCCCTGCATCCCTTCACACGGAGCCTCCACTTTTGGATGCTGTAACGGGCGGCCCTGCAGGTCAGCCTTGCACGTCTCTTTACACATCCCTTTACCAATCTTACACATAGTCGGTGCTCAACAAATGTTTGCTGAACTGGTCCGTGTGTGCACACATGTGTTGCAGGTGCAGTGGGAGGTGGGAGGCAGGTTACCTTGAAGGAACTCTGGAACCCTGGGGTGCCCAGTGCCTCACCAAGGATCTCACTTAATCCTCAGCCGTCCTGTGCATATCGCAGACCCCTTTGTCCTTAAGGAGCGAAAATGAGGAGCAAAAAACAAAACAAAAACAAAACAAAACAAAAAACACACGACAACTTGTTGCAGTTCCCACAGCTGATCGGGGCCTCAGGGCGCCTCTCCCCCATCCGATCTGAGGCGGTAGCCGCTCCACAAGTGGCGGCGCACACCCGGAGCACTTGCTTCGGGAAGGGACAAAAATGGAACATCTTTCTTCCATCATTTACCCCAGAGATGCTGCTCCCAAATAAACAATTCTCGGTAGTGTACGTTTCGAACCGCCTCCTAACCTCCTTTGCTCGGCCGCCGGAGCTGAGCAGAATTGCCTGCGAGCCCAGACCCCGCCCCTCCCTGCGCCCCGGGCCGCAGCCTGAGGATGCGGCGCCGCCGAGGAAGGGGGTGCAGGACTCGGAGGAAGGGGTGGGGGCTTGCTCGGACGGCACATACGCAGCCTAACCAGGTAAACTCGGCCTCCCTGGCTGCCCTCGCTCGCCGCCCAGGCTCGCCCTTTCTCCACTCCCTTGACTACCCCATCTGGTCCCGCCACCCGGGGTACACTCACCCTGCCACTCGGGAACCGGCTCAGGAGAAGGAGCCGCCGGCGCTCCCAGCAACAGCACCAGCAGCAACAGCAGCAGCGACCACGGCAGCAGCATCGCTAACCACTAGGCTCGCCGGGCGCCCAGTGCCTCTGTCGCAGCGGGGCCAGCGCCTGGGCCCCAGCGCCTGGCCCTGCGGCGCGGGAGGAGGGAACTCAGAACCTTCGCGCTCCACCCCTCCCGAGGGTCTCACTCAGGCACCCCGTTACCGCTGTGCACGCACACCCGGGGCTCCGGGCTGGGAGACTGGAAAGCCGCGGAGGTTTTCATCGCCCTACCCACTCCGGCTCCGAAAAGGAGGAGGAGGGAGGAGGAGGAGGAGGAGGAGGAAGGGGTGGACCGTCTGCCGGTCCCAGAAATTCCTGCCTGGGGGATGGGGGAGAAGCGTGGGGAGCAGAGGGGGTGGGGGGGAAGGCTGCCCCCTGCACGCTCCTCCTGCTTCCAGCGGGGTGGGGGTGTGTAAATTAATTGAGAACCTCTGGGACAGGAAGTCCGACATCTGGATTTGCAAACCACCCGGATCCTGGTAAACACTGCGGGTTTGGCTGCAGGCAGCTTGGGGTAAACTAAACTGCACCGTGAACCCGGGGTAGTTAGGGGCGCTCTGGGGACCCCTCTCCCCGGGGAACGTGGACTCCTGGAGATCTCTGAGGTGCAGTGCACGGGGTCTGCATGCTCCTCCCTGCAGAGTACCCCAAGGTTCTTCCATTCTGGAGCTCTTTTCCGTTTTAAAAACAACTTCCCCTTTTCAACTCCTTGCATTTCCCATTCCAACAAAACAGCTGAGTTATCTATCCCTTCAGTGGGCGTTGCCCCATTATCTCATTTTATAGCTGAGAAAATTCATCCAGAAAGGCAAAGTGATTTGCTCTCTGTTACTCCTTAATCTAGCAAAAGTTACTCCTTAAACTGATTCAAAACCCTGACTAGATTGTAGTCCTAACTGCTTTCAAATCACCAGTAGAACACAAGAAACATTTGATATTCATGAGACCTTGCCGAACAGGATCTTGACATTAGTGATTAAAATATGAGAAGAAAGCAAGCAAAGGAAGCTTGCAGATAAAAAAGGTGCCATTTTGGAGCACCTTACCTTTCTCAGCTGATATTTTTTAGCAACACTGTCTTAGATTTAATTCTGCATCCCTCCCTCCCTTCATATGTTGAAGCCCTAATCCCCCAGTGTGATTGTATTTGCAAATCAGGCTTTTAGGATTTAATTAAGGTTAAATGAGGTTGCAAGGGTGGGGTGCTAGATAGGACTGGTGGCCTTATAAAACGAGAGAAATCAATCTGTCCACCTGCAGGCACCAAGGAAAGGCCATGTGAGGACAAAATGAGAAGGTGGCCATCTGCACCCAGAAATAGGACCCTTGTCAAAAATCTTGATCTTGGACTTTCCAGCCACCAAAACTGGGAGAAATAAATTTCCATTTTTTAAACCACGCAGTCTAGGCGTGGCTCAGTGGTTGAGCATTGACCTAGGAACCAGGAGGTCACTATTTGATTCCCATCAGGGCACATGCCTGGTTTGCAGCTCGATCCCCAGTGTAGGGCATGCAGGAGGCAGCCAATCAATTATTCTTTCTCATCAATGATCTATCTATCTATCTATCTATCTATCTATCTCTCTTCCTGACATCAATAAAAATATATTATAAAAAATAAGATTTCTGCTTCCAAAAAGGTGGAATAACTGTAACAACAAACAAAATACATGAAGCAATGGTTTTCAAGACACTTGGACATCAGGCATTAAAGGATCGTGATCCCTGAGAGACAGGAAACATGGTGGGAACAGCAACAGGTGCCTGGCAGGCCCCGAGGAGAAGTGCTGTTAGGTTGCTACAGAGGGAACTGAGGGAAGTGTGTGCAGGGCTGGCTGCCACAGAGGTGGCTGGACTAAAAGGTGTGGCTGACAGAATGTAAAAGACTCTAGTGTGTGTCCCTAGCCAATGGCATATCGTTTTATGTAGAAGGTAACATCCCTGCCTGAATATATGTTGAAAAGAGATGCTTTCAATATACCAAATTATATAGACTTCAAGCACGAAGCATTTACCAATCTCTCCGATGGCCTCAGCACCACATTGAATACTATGGGAATAGCCCCGAAGTGGATGGCTCAGCTCTGTCTGAGTGGGCTGGCCTCCACTGCAGCATCAGGGGCAATGCACGCGGCATCATTAGGTAGCACAGGGCAGCACTGAGGTTCGTCTTTGGTGAGTGCAGTGCAGTGAATCAGAAGGAGAGAGGCAGGAGGATCACACAGGGTCAGATGTGCTCAGATAGGGTGCAGGAGGGGGTTGGGAAGAAGAGGTTATTATAGGATGAGAAAAAACACAAAGGTTGGAATGAGAAATGTTTATATGACAGACAGAGTAGGCGGGCCTGGCTGGAGCAAAGGGCACTGTGATGAAGGAGGGTAACTGCGGGACACTGGGCTACCTCCCACAGGCAGTGGGATCTAGCTGTGTGGGATTCAGTTTTATCTTCTAAATAATGGGAAAAAAAAAAAAAAAAAAAAGCAAAAGCCTTCCCTGATCCATAGCAGATAATATTCCAAAGTAGCAGTGCTGTGAATATGAGTAGGATAAAGAGGGGAAACAAGCCATATTTTTTCTCCAGAGCAATTAGTGTAATGAACAGAGGCGATGACAGCTTCCTGGCCTACTCACATCACATCTCCCATTCAACGATGGGAAGACTCCGAAAAAGCGCTAATTTCCATTCTTCCGGAAGCATTGCAGCTCTGAGGTGAAAATCGGTGGCAGAGAGCCTTTCAGAAGCCTTCGGGAAAATGATCCTCCCCCGTAACCCAATCCTGTATGTGTTTCAGATTTATGAAGCATGGGGAATGTAAGGGTTAAAAGAGGCTCTCTGCCACCTACCAGCAGGTGGCTTAGCCTCCCTTAGCCTCAGTTTCCTTCTGTGTAAAATGGAAATGGTGGCATTTGTTCCATAGAGTCACTGTATTAATGAGATAGGTTTGTGCAGTGCTTGGCCTTGGAGTCTGGTGTGTTGTCAGCACTCATTCCTGGGCGCTGAGAGTGTGTGGGAAGGGAATGGGGCAGCAAAGAGAAGAGCAACATAGAGCTCAGAATCACATGCTGCAGAGCGCTGTCCTGTAGGAATGTCCCCTGACCCAGCTACAAGCAGGACACCAGAGCTCTGCTTCTGTGGGCCTTTGTATGCCTTTCCGTGATTCAATTTGTCATTTCGAATCGGAATTTGTTATTTAATTATACCTCTCACTTGAATGTGAGTCCCTTGAAAAACCAAATATATTTTCCTTCTCTTTGAATCCCCAGGGCGGCAAAGGTCCTGGCACTTAGTAAGTTCTCAAAAAGTCTCTGCTGACTGAATAAATAAATGAAGAAAAGAAAGAATAGGCTTGAAAGGAATATAGTATTCCTAATCATTTGAAATTCAAGAAAGATATAACAACCTGAATGGTGTTGCATGAAATCATTGAAGACATTTTAAAGATTTAAAACTCAATGTGTGGGTTATAGTGAGGGTCAAATTAATAATTTTTTTGTGTGTGCACTGCAGGAATCAGGGTCTCAGCAAGAAAGGGTGAGACCCTGATTTATTGTGAAGGTTTAATGAAAAAAACTGTTTACAAAGGTCTGAGCAGAGTGAAGGGAACCAAGCAGGACGGTGAAGACCTAGTTTCTAACCCAGTGTAGGAACCTGCCGTTACTACACTGGGTCTGAAGGGTCAAGGGCAGGGAACAGTTCAAGGAACCTCATGACAGTTGTACTTATGGGACAGGGAGCATCTGACAGGACAGGAGAACAGTAACTACTACCATATGAAAGTCTGTCAGGGAAGGAACTGACAGAATAAATAGCCTGTCTTCTCCTGCCCTCTAACCTCTTCCCATTAGCTGAACCCAACCAGAACTCAGTGGGCAAGGAGTCCCCAGAAGTCAGCTTGCCGAGCACAGAACAGGTGGAGAGCTATGGACAGTCAGTCTGGAGAGACAAGCAGAGAATAGTCAGCCTTCTATTGATCTTTGTACTTGTGCAGAGGATCAAACGAAGACCAGGACATAATTATTCTTTGCTTATGGTCACTGAGTTTAGAGTCTAGTGGGAGAAACCAACAGGCAGTCAAAAAGTTATAATAGAGTATGATGCATGTCATGATATGAAGATGTATTTGAAACATGACAAGTACTTAGAGGGGCCATGTATCAAGGCTTGGGGCTCAAAGAAGGCTACCAAGAAAAAGAGGCATCCAAACTGATATCTTGAATATTCAGCTGACTTTAAAAGATACAGTTAAGAGAATTAGAAGAAAATCCACCAGCTGGGATAAAACATCTGCAAATCATTTATCTGATGAAGAACTTATATCTAGAATATATAATGAACTCTCCGACCCAATAGAAAGAAAACAAATAATCCAAATAACAAATAGAAAATCTGAACAGGCACTTTACCAGAAAAAATATATAGATGGCAAATAAACATATGAAATGATTTTCAAGACCATTAAGCATTAGGGAAATGGAGATTTAAACCACAATGATATACTGCTATCCACTTATTATAATGGTAAAAATGAAAAAGTCTGACTACACTAAGTATAAGCAAGGATGAAGGATGAGGAAAACTAAAACACTGTTGACAGGAATATAAAATGGTGCAACCAGTTTGAAAAAAAAACAGTTTGGCAGTCTTTAAGAAAATTAAAAAAACATATAACTACTTTGTTTGCTATAGCTGCTATAATAAAGTACAATAACTAGGAGGCTTACAACAACAGAAATTTATTCTCTTACAGATGTGTAGGTCATAAGTTCAAATTCATGTATCAGCAGGATTGATTCCTTTTTGAGACTCTGAGGAAGAACATGTTCTATGCCTCTCTCCTAATTTCTGATGGTTGCTAGCAATCTTTGGCACTACTTGGCTCATAGCTACATCACCACAATATCTGTCTCCATTGTCACATGGCCTTCTTCTCTGTATATCTCTCTGTGTTTTCACATGGCTTTCTTATAAAGGACATTAGTCATTGGATTTAGGGCCCACCCTAACCCAGA